AAGGAAGAAAATCAGAATTTCTTTGCACGAGTGTCGCCCGGCACGTCCAACCTGTCAGAACCTCAACGGTAATTGCAGTCTGTATGGTAGGGTTCTTGCAGGCCAGATTCAGTCATGATGAGGGTCACGATCTCTCAAAACTTTCTCTTCGTATTACTTCTGAAGTAGAAAACGACGGAACTGGCAGCCGTTTTTCCTGGATTTTTTTTTTTAATAAAAGAAAAAAAACTTTGCACGAGTGAAGTACGGCGCATCCAACCTGTCAGAACCTCAACGGTAATGTTTGCCAACGGGCTCGCTGCACTACTCTCGACATGCACAACAAGCCATATATGGCAATGTATCTTTCCATGTTCAAGCGGAGGATTCAGTCTCATTTGTTCAGAGATTCTCCAAAAAAAAAAAAAGAAAGGTTCCAGAGATACGTTATGTGCTTACCTGATTCATCGGCCCTTCGCTCTCCACCACCCAACGTATGAATGAATCTTCCGCCAGAACATGGAAAGATACACCGCCATATGTTTTGTCCTTTGTGCATGTCGCCCCGCTTCTGGATTCATGTTGCCGGTTGATAAGGGCGGTTTCTTCGGTCCGATAGTGTCAGCACATGGTTCTTCTCTCTCTCACACGGTTTCTTCTCTCTCTCTCTCTCTCTCTCTCTCTCTCTCTCACACACACACACACACACACACACACACACACCGAAAATAGGCATTGCGCACAGTGCGCACCTTGCAGGGGTGGCGCGACCCCATGCGCTGCGCGCATGGCACACCTTGTGCGCGTGCGAGCGCACATGCGCGCGCGGTGTCACCGCGTGCATTCCGCACGACGCAGCGTACCGCATCACGCACCGCACTAATGCGCCGCAAGTATGCTATACGGTCATAAGCAGGGTACGTTGTGTCAGAATCCATCACATAAGGGGGCTCTCTCCACCACTTGACAAATGTGAAAAATGAGGATGAATCTCATGATGAGGATGAATCTCCGGTAGAACATGGAAAGATGCATCACTATAATTTTTGTCTGTCGTGCATGTGGTAAATCGTGGAGCTATGCCCAAGGGCGTCGAATCTGTTAGGATCAGGGCGTCCGTCCCCACACCAGGACTCGTTTACTTCTTTGTTGACATAATCGCGGTCATAAATGTGGTTAGATACATTTAAGATAGAGTGAGTGTCTACGTAGCACCGTGTTCGCGTCTGGAGGCGAACGCGAACATGTTCGCCCGAACGAGAACAAGTGCCCAAAACCCTCCGAACGCGAACATAAAAAATGTTAAAAAATATGTTTGTGACGATATATATATATGTTATGTAAAATAACAATACAATCAACTTTTGCGTTGGAGTCATGTTCAAATTCGCAGCCAATCATGAGTTAAAAATAAAACACCGAAAAAAATATATATACACTTTTTTTCTTACGAAAAAAAATATGTACATGTTCGCGAGCTGTTCGCGCGAACATGAAGGGACGCGAACACGTTTGCCGTGCTACGCAGGTGAGTGTGAGTACCACCTCAGAATGGGATGATTCACCAATGGGCCATTCAGTTCAATGATGAAATGTCAAAGCCGTCGCCCTTTCACAAAAAAACTTAAAAGAAGACACGAAGAAAAAGAAAGAAATATGAATACTGTTACGACTTGGGGCATACTCACATCGGGAGGTAATTGCGCTCAGGAGCATCCAGTCTGGCTGTAAAGAGGTCAGATAAGTCCAGGAACGTCTTCGTGTGAGTGCGCCCCTCCCTGCGCCCAAAGTATCCGTTGACAAGGGTGGTTGGTCCTGTGTCGTGCATCGCCACTTTTTATTTCTTCTGTTGAATGGTAGTAGAGGCACACCACTCACACACGTACACACACATAACAAAAAGGGCATTCACTCGTGTGTGTGTAAGGGGGGAAGGCGTGTACTCCACCAGCACAATGCCCACTGCTCATGGTCGCGCAGTGCACGTGTGCACACATCACCCATGTGCGCACGGCGCGCCACATTGGTGCGCTGCAAGTACGCTCCTATCATTCCAGCTCTTGCTCTTGATGTCTATCTTGACGCCTTTCTATTAGAGAGAGAGAGAGAGAGGAATTTATTTTTCATCTGTATAGTGTAGACAATTTAGAGTTAGGTTTCTACCGATAAACAAGGTCAAATTATCCCACAGGCCGTTGTGAAATCTCCACCAACATGCCCTGTGTTTTACATATGATTTTCTCTGTTCATGTGAGCGTATGAAGTAGTGACTAGTCTGTGGTGGCCAACAAACTGTCTTCTGTCCATTACGTGTTGCTCTTCCTTTCCGTTTAATTCCAGAGTGACACACTTTCTCATCTGCTGCTTTTCATGTGAATGATGATGTTGAGTGAACTGTCCATACAGAGCATGGCTTGTGAAGCCGTTTTCTTTCCCCCCTCTTATGCTATATGCATTGGATGGATCTCTGTGCTATGCGACTGTTTTCATGGTGGCACCATGGGCAAAAATGCCAGCCTCCTACCAGGTTGGCAGCTTGCCTTCTTTTACTGAGTTCACCGTGCTCTCTGGTGTGTTGTTGCAGCCTTGACCTGAGTCATAACAAGCTTACATCAATGAAAGCGCTGGGGCAGCTGGCGGCCAATTACAAGTCGCTTCAGGCTCTAAGCTTGAAAGGAAATCCAATCGTAACAAATGTGAGGTGAGTGTACTCTGCGCAGTGGAGTGACAGGGTGCATAATACTGGCATACCTTTGCGCGCCAGATACCCAAAACACACAGAGAGAGAGAGAGAGAGAGAGAGAGAGAGAGAGAGAGTTTGGAATAGCTGTTGACATTTTTGCCTTGTAATGATGTGCGGTTAATTGTTTCGGGGAATGTTAATGATGGTGACATCTGCCACGCTGCAGAAGTCACTCTTCATGATGTCGGTCATCGGGATTGAAGCAAGGACCATCCAATTCCGGAGTGGAACAGTGCCTTCAAGATTACTGACATGTTGCAGGGTGCATTTAAAATAGCTGCGTGTGTGGCTTGTGTTGACTGTCAGGAAGCTAAATGTTAGATAATTGCTGTGTGCGGTTTGTGTTGACTGTCAGGAAGCTAAATAGATAAGCTGCGCGTGGAGCATTGCAGAAGCTTCTTTGGGTGAAGCAGTGAAGTTGTTGCTTATGTACCTGCATGCTGTAGCCAATGGGTGATTTGTTGATTGTATTTCTACTTGAGCCAGTTGGAATGGGTCTTGTTTGATCTACATCTACAATAATATAAGAACCATGGCTGTGCCGGCAACCGGCCTGGATCCAACCGGGTCGGTTGGCCCCTCGGTGGTCCAACCGGAATTCCGGTTGGGTCCAAAAGTGGGTCAATTTTTTTTATTTTTATTTTTTTGAAAACATGGTTGGACTGCGCTCACCGAGATCTCACCGAATCCGCAAAGAAAACTTTGAACAGAGAAGTTTCGTTTGGGGGGTTGG